AGGGAGAAACTCCTGGGGGGATGGAGCTATTGCGTCTTGATCGTGGTGGTGTTTACAGGACTCATAGTACTTTTGAACAAACTCATAGCACTGTACTATAAAGGGTGAATTTTACTGTATGTAAATTATCCTTCAATAAACCTGAGTCATTTAGTGCCATAGTAAGGCCACTTTCCACACCCTGACATAGACTACCTCCCGCCCCAGGAACCCTTCGGGACTAGAGTCAAGGCTCCCAGGCTCAAGAATTGATCCGGCCCTCACTGAGGGGGCTGTCCATCAGGATCACTGGTGAGCTTTAAAATGCTGACGCCATGGCCTCAGCCTAAATTGGGGGTTCTGATTTAATGGGCTTCGGGGTGCAGCCTGAGCATTGGGACTTTTTCAAAAGCTTCCCAGGTGATGCTAGTGACCTAGACACTGAGTTCCCTAAGAGCAGGGACTAGGATTTATTCAACTTTGCATCTCCAGATACCCCATAATTATGTGCACTGCATCACATAGAGGCAGATGACATAGTGTGAAAGAGCTGATAACTGTGAACACCTGCAATAATCACATGTGGCTGCCTCTGTTCTGGGTGCTGGACATGTATACATTTAGTTGGCCCCCAGTCCCCAGGAACATAGGAGCATGGTTATGCCCTTTTGACAGGTGAGGAAACCCCAGCACAGAGTAGTGAAGTCTTGCCTAAGACGACATAGCCAGTAAGTGGCAGAGCTGTGTGGTGGCCCGGAGTCACTAACCACTGGGAGATACTGCCCCCCGGTGCCGGCTGCACCAGATTTAAGAATCAGATAGGCCTGGTTTGAATCTGAGTTCACTACTTACAGGGGCAAGTTATTTAGCTTTGCTTGATTTCACTTTCCTCATCTGTAAATCATGGACCCTTGAACTGAGGTCAAAAGGCTGTTACAGAAGAAAATGAGAGGAGTGCTCCCTGCAAAGGAAAATACTCAATGCTAGCAATGATGGATATAGGAAGAATGAATGAATGGATGGATGGATGGATACTGTTCCCAGAGTCGCAGGGTGCTGGCAGTGGGACCAGCTCCTGGGAAGAGAATTTCCCTGAAAAGAGAACTTCCCCAGGAGGGAAGGCAGGGAAAGGCAAGGTCTTCCAGTTGACTCGGGGTCTGCCAGGCTCTCCAGGGATGCCCCCACCTTGGCACCTGCTGGCCTTCCCTCCCCTCCCCTCCCCTCCAGCTCCCATCCAGGGGGAGCCCCCAGATTCCTGGGGGGAGCCTCCAGGCTTTTAGAAATAAGTACATCGAGTAGTAAAACTTTGAAGCCCTTAGAATGTTTGCTGCCTGATGTAGCCTGAGCCTGGGATGCACAGTTATTTGGTGAGCGAATCTGGGTGAGGTACTGCTAGGGTGAGGTACTGCCGGGGGTGGCTGGGAGCTCCCCCAGGTCACACAGGCCCCTTTGAGCTCCCAGGAGAAGAGCCTCGAGGACAGCACCCTCTCGATG